CCTTGGTTTTTATTAAGTGGAAAAAAAAACCCACTTGGATGATGTGAAGCACTACCTTTAAAGCAGAATCTTTTGGTTATATTTAGTTTACTGAAATCCATCATGTCTATGAATATGCCTGGGAGAACTTTCCCTCTTGCTCCAGTAAATAACTTGTTAACAATGCATGCTGCTCTTTGCCCATAAAGTACCTTGACTCAGATGCAAAGTAGGAACTTAACTATGAAAAATGGAGATGGATCCCAAAATCCACATCTGGCTTATGCACCTGATCAGGCAGGGCTGAGTCCTGCCAGCAGTGCCATGTGGAAAGGCAATCCTCCAAACATGTATTGCAGCTCATCAGCTCACTGTGTTGGACATCCCTGGGCTTCAGCAAACTTTTCCCCTTTTATCCTTTCAGTCCTGTGAGCTGCCAGAGGCACCCGAGTTCTGCAGATGGACAGCAGAAAAAACAAGGCAAAGCAGAAAAAAAAAAAAAAAAACATGGGAAAAATGCTGATGTCCATAAAGAGGAGGGGTAAATCTACATAATAAAGTAGCAGTTTAAAATTAGGAAAAAAAAATGGAAATCACTTGGAAAGATTTAATCATAATTCTTTTTACAATCTGAAGCAATTACATAAAGCCAGAGTGACCAGGAAGGTTGACAAAGGATTTGATGAATGTGCAGCTCAGCTCAACATTACAGGGCAGCTCTGAGGCTGGGCTTTGCTAGCCATGAATAGCAATGAAACCCTCTCATATTCCATGGATTGCTCAAGATAAGCAAACACAGTGCATTGCCCAGTCCTGTTCAAGCTCCCAGCCCTCCCTTATTGGTCATTACCTGGGGATCTTGACAGACAGACAGACAGACAGCAGTGCTGGCAGTGAGAGGGCATGGCAGGCTCTGGGATTTGAGTGTTCCTGCAGATCTCACAGAGATGAGCTTGGGCTGAGCCTCTGAATAGCCCATTGCTCTCTCTGCTGTCTTTTATAGGGCAGGACAGGCTGTGAAATCTCTCAGGTATGCAATGTTTAATTAAAAGGCTCTTCCTTCTGCATTTTTGCAAAGAGAACAGCTCTGGCCTGGATTTTCTCTTTCCATCTGTGACTCAGAGCCTACTTTCTTACTTGTGGGTGTGAAAATATTTTGGAAATTAGGTAGCTGTGCAGTCTGTCCAGATACTCAATATTTCCTGCTCCTAACACATGCAGGGATGTGATTTCCACACATCTGGGTACCAAGAGAGCTAGGAAATCACCTCCATGGGTGAGATGGGAGGTATAGAAGATGAAGTTCCAGCAGTTGGTTTCATATCAATTGACTCCATAACCTTGGCATGGCACTTGACTTCATCCGTAAACTGAGGGTAGAGAAATCAACTCTTGTTGAAGCAGTAATATCTTAAATATTTACATTTCTTGAGTGCAGGGGACTTAAACAGAACATCCATCACAAGGTGGTTTCAGATTTCATGGAAGTTCAGTATCTGTGATTTCACATTATTAGGTTGATAGAGAGTAATGGAATTCCATCATGCATTTTGACCCCAGCTGTTGTATCTCCATCCAGAGATCCCCCCTTGTACCATTCAGATGCAAAACACCAAGTTAGGTGGTAATAAATGTGAGCCGCACAAATGGGAAAACAGAAATTCCTCAGGTGTAGAGTTTGGTGATAGTTTGTGTGAGAGCAGCTCCAGAGCTGGGAATGGATTGTTCTTCATGTAAAGAAGAAAATGAGGTCCCAGGTTAGCATTTGCAGGACTCAAGTATTGGATTAACACAATCACAAATATGATTAAGGGCTAAAAACCAGCATGACTGTTGAATATTTTCTTCACATTATCTCTCTAACCATTATTTGGGATACACTTCAGCAGTCCAATTTTAAGATGCCTTGCAAAGTAGCAGGCTAAATTCCCTTTATATTCAAAACAGGCTCCTCTGGAACATTATTAATCTCACCCAGTTTCAGTGTCTACATTATTATGAGAAGCATCTGACTATAAAAGTGCCAGCCTCTGCCTCTCTCTGCTGAGAATGAAAGTTTGAGGCAATTACTGTGCAGGTGGGGGGTCCATTGCAGGTATCTGACATTAAGGGAGAAGAAATCCTTCCCTTCTTTCAGCTTTTTCATTACACGATCTCAATCTACCCTACAAAGTAAAATACTTGAAAAATGAGCACCCCAGGAGGAACTGTAGAAGGGACATGAAACCTCCAGGATGGTTTTGAGTATGATGGTTAAACAGTCTTGATTTGTATCAACATAAATATGCCATTAATTGAGGATTTGAGGGTTTGGTGACCAAAGAATTCCCACCAAGAGAGATAAAAGTAGCTTGGAAAAATCCCAATGTTTCCTTGTTTGTCAAAGACCTTTCCAGAATCAGACAGTAGTGAATGACAGAGCTTGATTCTTGCAAGGGAAACCCATTTACAGATTTTTGCTTCAGAAGGCATGCAGGCAGCTTTCCCTCTTTTCAGGGCAGGTCTGGAAATTAGACCCAAACATAATAAATTTTTTCAAACCATGGGAGTCAAGCAAACAATTAGTGACCCCTGTACCTGTTGTCTGGTGTTTTGAAATCCTTTGTTTCAGAGTTTAGAGGAAGAAGGAGAGCTTTGTGCCCAAGGGTTTCTGTGTCCAGGCATGGAGTCACCAGTCTAGTAATGGCATGTCCATCCTTCTGTATTTTCTTCTGCTGCTGAGCAGAGATAACATGATGGAAAAAACAAAGCAGATTCAGCTTTTCTGCATTTTCCCTGCTTTGTCTGATTTGCAAGAGTTTTTCCACTACACACTCACTGGTTTTTAAAAGACTTAATCTCATAAATATAATCTCATACTAATAATGGAAGTGGCTTATCCAGATCTGGTAGGTCACACCGGCTCCATGGGGGTGCACAAGTGTGACCTTAAACCCATAGGAATTGAGAGTCTGAACCATGTTCAGTATCTTCTGCTGGCCTAAAAGAACATTTATGGTAACAGGCAAAATATGAGGTAATATTGAAATCACAAAGGAGCAATTGTCTTCTGGCCAACAGCAAAAGAAAAGTGAGAAAAGATCAGTGTTCAAATCCTCCTACCTCTGTGAGTCTCAGCAAACCATCATTCCCTTCAAGATCCATGTGAGAGCTCTGCAAAATTTTCAAAGCACATTTCAAGGGGAAACACACAAAGGAGTGAACCAGTGGCTCTTTCTAATACTGCTTTGAGGAACGATTTCCACCCTTATGTAAGTCTGCTACCTCTTTGGATCAGTTTCTCTGTAAATTCATAGCAAACTCAGACTACCTTGGTCAGAAATGAGTGTTTGCACTGAAGCTTTTTACTTTCCTTTTGGGATGTAGCTTCTGTGGAAAGCACATTGATGTTTTAAAGCCTTTTGAAATGCTTGAACATTTCCTGCAGTTCACTGCTTTTGCACCATCTGGCACCTGAAATCTTCTCATCACCAAAGAGGTTTTAGAAGGCATAATGCAGGCACATTTGTCATTCAAACTAGATGTGATGGGGTCAGTCTTGGGAAACAGGATTAAAATTTTTGTGTAACCTTCAGATTCTTGCAGCCTCTGGTGTGTTTTTAGTTCTTCAGGCCATGCCAGCCAGTATTTAATTGCTGCCAGGAATCCTGGTGGTGTAACCAGTAGGAGACCATTTAGCTGCTATTGGTGATGGTGTCTCTCAACATTTCCACATTGTGAAATGAATTAACAGTCTGCAGGCCTTAGAATAAGTATTTGGTCAAATTTTGTGTTGTTAGGCTCTGGCACAGCTTCACAGAGGTGCTAATTAATCTCATCAATATAATCTCATACTAATAATGGCTTATCCAGATCTGCTAGGTCACACTGGCTCAATGGGGGTGCACAAGTGTGGCCTAAAACACATAGGAATTGAGAGTCTGAACCATGTACAGTATCTTCTGCTGGCCCAAAAGAACATTTATGCTAACAGGCAAAATATGAGGTCAAATGTTGTGTTGTTAGGTGTCACTATAGGACACGAAATAACACGACGCACAGATACTGCTGTTTTCAAGGCAAAAAAAGGAAGTTTATTTTCTGACTCTAACATTTATAGATTTCTAAAAGTGACAGTGGATTGGAGGGTGAAAGTGCAACCTCTCCAATGACACTGGACAAACAAAGTTTATCAAATTTCTCTTCTTCTATAAAAGAATGGAAAACAGTAAGTTATTTACAGAAAGTGTGTAAGAATGCAAACATCAGAAGGCTTAAATAATCTTAAAAAATCAGGGCAACAGTTAGGCTAGCAAAGAATAGAAAAAGAATGATAACAAAGGCTTGTGGCTCAGACAGAGAGTCTGAGCCAGCTGACTGTGATTGGCCATTAATTAGAAACAACCACATGAGACCAATCACAGATCCACCTGCTGCATTCCACAGCAGCAGATAATCAATGTTTACATTCTGTTCCTGAGGCCTCTCAGCTTCTCAGGAGCAAAAATATTAAAGAAAGCATTTTTCATAAAAGATGTCTGTGACATTTATCTCTAACTAAAACCTTAGCTCCTCTAAAATCTCTGAGTTCCTTAAAGTTTATGTCTCAACAGCGTTAGAGAACCTCATGTTCTCAGCCTGCCAAGCAGGCCCTGGGGCTGCAGGATGGCTGTGTCACCCTGGGGCTGCAGGATGGCTGTGTCACCCTGGGGCTGCAGGACGGCTGTGACACCCTGGGGCTGCAGGATGGCTGTGACACCCTGGGGTTGCAGGATGGCTGTGTCACCCTGGGGCTGCAGGATGGCTGTGACACCCTGTGCTTCTCTCATTGCTCTCAGGGTGGAGCCGGCGCTGACGCAGATCAAGGAGGATCGCAAGCGGATCAGTTTCTTTATTCTTCATTATAAACCCAGCTAACCAAACATTGTGTTGACAAGCAATCAATTATTAGTAACTACTAACTCTTAACTTCACCAAAACCTACCTATTTATTTTAATTAACTTCAATAAAGCATAATTATCTCTGCTCTCGTTGCTCCCAGGGCAGAGCCAGCACTGACGCGGATCAAGGAGGATCGCAAGCGCATCATCCTGCCCGCCATCGACAACATCAAGTACAACACCTTTGAGGTGCAGCAGTACGCCAACGCTGCCCACGGCTACAACTGGGGGCTCTGGTGCATGTACATCATCCCACCACAGGACTGGCTTGATAAAGGGGATGAGTCAGCTCCCATCAGGTAAATCTCCTTGTGCTGTCACTTTGGGCAGAGCGGTGTTTCCATCTCGGCTGTCTGAATGGTCACCACATTTCTCTTCACTCAGAAAAGCAAGGCACAGTTCTTCCCGAGAATATTTCTGGGTTTCACATTCTCTGAGCCTCAGAGAGAGAAAAAACTATCTTTATCTCATTTGTTGTGCCAAAGTAGAGTGCAATATGGAGATTGTTTACCCAGAGTGATGGTGTTCTGTTTCCTTGGCCTATCAGGAGTGTCAGGACTGTTGGCTGACAATTACGAGATTCTGAGCAGGGGAATGCAGCTGAGTGCTGGGCAGATTCAGTTTAGATGTAATGTAATATAGTATAGAATAATATAGTATAATAAAGTAATTAATTATCCTTCTGATAAGAAGGAGTCAGATGCATTCATCTCTCCCCCTCGTTGGAGGCAAAAATATCCACTATAAACAAACCTACATGTTTTGTGCCTGTAGGAATAACAAAATGAGTCTAATGGCTCCACAAAAGTTGTGGATGTGTGTACTGCCTTTCAGAGCTTCCCCACAATGTGCACAACTACTCTGGCTCTGAGCGTGTGCTTCAAGCACGTGTTCTGGCCATTAGTAGGATAGCAGGATCCTTTTCATCTAACCTTTTATTTTCCAGTGGGCTCTGGCCCATTGTGTGCAAGAGAAACAAAGGTATTGTGTGTGGGATTACAATGTGGCTGGTTTCACTCCTCTACTGTCGGCAGTCTTGATCATCTGTCCAAACCAGAGCTTCCCTGGAGCATCACTAGGAGCTGTGTTTGAGAACTGCTCTTTTTTTCTTTTATTTGTGGGGTTTTTTTTTGGTTTTTTTTTGGTTTTTTTTTTCCTTTGGGTTTTTTTTGGGGGGAGGGGTTGTGGTGAGTTTTCAGATTTTTTTGGTTGGTTGGAGTTTTTATGTTTTATGTTGTTTTTTGGGGGTTTTGGTAGTTTTTGGGGGTTTTTTTGTTTGTTTGGTTTTTTTGGGTTTTTTTTTTTTTGTTTTGTTTTGTTTGGGTTTTTGTTTTGTTTTGGTTTGTGGTTTTGGATTTTTTTTGTTTTGTTTTGTTTTTTGTTTTTTGGTTTTTTTTCTTGAGAACTTTGCGCATGTTCAGAATTTTCCTACTGGTTGAATTTAAAACGAACCCACATCAGACCATGTAGTCAGTGTGTCAATTTACTTTTCCCTACAAGAGAACATTGTACACTACAGGAATGGAATTTTCTGGTGAAAGGCCATTACAGGAATTGTGAAGGTGTTTCTGAGAAGTGTTACAATGGGGAAAAGTGGAACTGATGTGAAAAGGGCTTTCTCTTCCCTCCATTTGGAAATTCACATCTCCAGTGCAGATGTTTGTCTAACAGCTCCTCTAGGACATATTGTGCTGGGTTAAGGGTACTGCTGTTACCAACTCTAGAAATAAATGCTAAAAAATGTGAAGCCTAAGTATGCACTTTAGGATGCTCTTATTTTTAAGACTTCTTAAGAAGGACACAAATTGCCAGCTTAAAGTCATCTTCATTTTCTTGTATATTGGCATCATCTTAAAGCAAGCTGAAACTCTACTGTATGGTCCCAGTGTGGGCTGTGGCAGAGGAGCTGATGAATTTCCCTTCAGTGCAAAGCTTGAGTTTCCAGATCCTGGAAAGTTTAGCCAAGCACTTCCAACAACACACCCACCTGAAAAAAATGCCAGTGATCTTTTGGAAGTGAAAGGACCCTGACAAACTGATCACATTTCTAAGTCATCAGAGGGATGGAGCCACCTCACAGGATCCTCCCCTCATGAAGAGTAATATTTTAATCTGTATTTCACCAAGTGTTGCAAATTGTACTCAGGTTCATTCTTATGCTCTGTGACTGCAAAACAGAGCTATACAGTAATATTAACCTTATTTACTGCAGGACAGCACAGTCCATCATCACTGACCTTTTGCTTGGCTTGGAACCTCAATAAGCAGGGAAGTAATTACTTAGGAAATCAGTTTTCCTGGATAACATGCCCTGCTCGCCTCACATTGTTTTAAAAGTGCAGATGTTTTATACCTGTTTCACTCAGCCCTGAGAAATTTTATTGATAAAGGAAAATTAATCATCCAAAGCTTTCACTCCTGAAAGGTTTTGTGCACTTCATGACTCACAATTTATATGTGAAATCATTGTAGTAATTTTCCCATGGATTGCTCCAGTATTTCAGTATCTTCTGTTCTGGAGACAATGATCACATAACAGATAAGACTGAACTAAGAGGTTAAACCTCAGCAATAAAGGGCCTGATTTACCATGGACTTCCCACAGATTTATGTTCAGGCTCTTGCTGGTGCCATGCTGGCACTGAGTTGGGCTGACACAGGAGTGAACAAACTCAATCCAAAATCAAAAACTCAAATCCAAACTCAAGCACTGAGCAGTGTTAAAATCTGATGCACATGAGTAGCTGGCTCCCAAGAGCAGAGGCATCCACATGGAACCATGAACACTTCCATGTCTTCCTGGGTATAAATTCTTTGAAGGCAGGGATTTAGGAGAGCAGAGCATCCCCTTTATGGTCACACTGCAGTGTGTGCTGAGGGGCCTCTGAAGCTCTGGCACCTGGATGGATTTGCTAAAGCATTTGGCTGTTGTGTTGTTCCTGCCTGTGGAAATATAATGTGATTTTGTGGCTTTTAAGTGATATGCCAGTGTAATTATGGTAGTGGAAAGAGTGACTGTGTGAGTGTTATTGATGAAAACAATCAGGAAGTCTGTCCTTAGCGGTGAGATTTGAAAGTGGTCATGGTGGGAACTTACTAGCTGTGGAATGTGGGGATATGGAACTTACTAGCTGTGTGTTTTCAAAAGGAAGGCAAAGTCAGGCTAGTGAGAAAACTTTTTTAAAAATCTCAGATGTGACTTGGCTTGGCACAGGTTTTGGTTTTGTAACCAGCTTTCCAAATCACATATTGCAACCATGATTTCCATTTCAGTCCACTTTGCAAGACAGAAACTGTGCACTTTGATGGTGTTTTAATCCATGTGTCTGCCCAGTGCATTCATAAGATTGCAAAGGTGCTCATCAGCATGAAAACTGCAATTCCATTTAGTCCTTGCTACCACTGTTCCTCTTCAGGCTTTGACTCTGTTTTCAGCAGGCAGTGGCTTTGGTTTGTGCCTCTGTGTGTCCTGTGAAAGAAAAGTCTGGTAACAAATAACCCTGTGACTGGTTTTGTGGTTGGTGTAGCTGAATACTTTCTGCCAGATCTCCAGAGGGATTAGAGATTTTCAGCATTAAAGAACATGTGTACCCTGGTATCAGTGAGGATCAAGCCCTGGCATTTCTCATGTTTGCACTGTATGAATAAATATCATCAATGTGCAGAATTGGATGAGGCATTTGGAAAGCAGGGTCCAATTCCTGTTTCCTTCTGGGACTACACACAAGATGTGCTTCTTTCCTAAGAATTTTTCTATGTTAAGCCTGGTCCTCTAATTTCTTGAACACTGACTGTGATTCTACTCAGCCTTGCTGGGAAGGAGCAGCAACTGTCCCTCACACCAGTGGCTCATTCATGGGCAGTCATGTCAAATGTGCACCATAAAATGTCACATCAGCTGTTGTGAGCTAAGTGACAAAGGGGACTTGGCTTTGAAGTGCTAACAAAGGTAAAGAAATAGCAAGAACAAGGTGTCAGATTTTGTAAAGATTTCTGATGCACTTTAAAGTCGGTTCTTTCTTCCCCCCCACGTTAATACTCTGAACTTCAGAACAATTGATGTTCCCCGAGCTGGCTTCTGCAGGCAATCCATTTTCCATGTTTGACATTTGAGATGGAAGATGTCTGTAAGGTGAAGATTTAAATGAGGATTGTTATTTTGACACGCTGTGTCCATTGCGTCATTTTCCATTCGTGTTCCTGCGAGCGCGCTGCCCAAAAATGCCCTTGTCATCTGGCACCACACTGTGCAACAAAGGGTCTGTTTCACAGGGCTTCTCATGAATTTGACTATGCATTGAAACAAGCTGGGTTTTTTAATGCATGCTGTATCTTTTTTTCCCTGGGTTTTGGAACAGCCAGGAAGGTTTCTGCTATTCTGAACTCTGGCTCTGACTTGTCTTCCCTCACCTGCTGTGATTATGATGGACTGCTCTGCATTTGATTTCTTGATCAGCAGCCACTAACATGAGAGTCATTAGTCAGCCTCACCCAGCCAAGCACTGCACAGCTTTCCATTTTATCTTCCTCCAGCAGCAGTGGTGCATTTCATTGTTGCATATGTTCTCACTTACTGCTTTAATATACCATAGCTTGCTACCAATAGGGATGTGCATGTACATGCACTGCATCAGCTGCTCCAGAGAGTGCCAGTGCCTTGCTCATGGACATAAATTAGAGCTTGATGTGCCCCCAGTGAAGTGTTTTGTGCTGCTGCTTCTATCTGAGACTGTGTATGCCCATCTCATGTGCAGCAACAATAATGATGAAGCCAGTCTGAGCCCTCACTGCTCTGGGAAGAAATCCACCGGAGCTCAGGAGGTAAAGTCTTTCATGATAAACCATGCTGCCATGTAATAATAAAACTGGGGAGTGTTTATTGGCTGCTCACAGCCATCTTTTCAGTTTCTGGTTCACAGGAGCCTGTAACAAAGCAGTTTTGCTTTTATTTGTCCAGGTTCTGATGTGTGTCCTGCCTGTTCCAAAAAAATTTACTTCCACGGGGCATCAGAGAGTTATTCTGCATCCCTATTTGCTCTGCCTTTCTAGATGAGCATTAGCTTGTCATTTTTTCTTTTTTTTTCCTGTATCTCCTGAGCAGCAAATCTGTCCTTGAGTTCTGTTCTCGGGGCCTGGTGTGACTCTTTCTTGCAGGAAGACATGAGCTGTAAGAAAAATAGAAATACTTCTGCAGGTACCCTGCAGGTTTCCCCACTTACATGTCAGACCAAGGCTGAAGTGCTGCTTAAGAACCTGAATCAAAGAAATATCCTGCTGGGAGAGGTGGAACACTCAGAGATTGAATGTGTCATTTGAAACTCCTTGTCTCTCTTATTATACCTGTATATATACATTTATGCTTATATATTTATTTATGGTTCTATTTGCCTTTGAATTTATGTGGTTATTGTGAGTGTTTGTCAGTTTTCCTGGAAATTGCAGTTGGCTGCTCAGGAAACTGTTTCAAATGTGACCTGATTGCACTGTGCACATATGTACATATAAATATATATAAAAATAAATATATATAAATATATGCTGGCCTTAAGGCAGGAGAGAAGGATGCATAAGGCAGAGGCAGACTGACTGTACCATGTGCAGTTTGGTCTCCCCATCCCTTTCTCTTTCACTGGTTCTTGGTGAAGCCCCCAGGGGAAGGAGGGGGATGCACCTGTCTGGAGAAATGGGTGTCAGCACCTGCTGGATTTTTACCCACAGTGCTCCTGGGGCTCTCACTGACACAAACCAGTCCTGACTCAGACCTGCAGCAAATGCAAATGCTTTTCTTCCCTGGCCAGTGTGCCCCATCCCATGGCAGGCGCTGCCCTTGCACCCAGGGCAGGGAGGGAGAGTTCACCACCAGAAACCTCTCTGTGCCTCTTCCCTTCCCCAGGGCATTCCCAGAGAAATGTTTCCCTCACGTCTCCTCTGCTACAGCAGTACAGGTAATTCCCCCTGCACAGCCTGACTGTGCTGTATCTTTCTCCAGAGCAGAATCAATACAACTCTAGGCTGCATTTTAAGCTTTTAGCTGCAAAACCCATTTTGCTGTGTTTCCCACATTATCCTTTGAGTGCTCCTGTTGATTATAATTAATCCTTATAACATCCTCCACTGTGTCAAGGAATATTCCACAGATCAATTAAGTTTCACAACACCTTTGAGGTGTTGGTAAAAAACAGTACACTTCTAATTGCTGCTTTCTCCTTCTGGAAGTGTCTCTGTTTTACTGGAGAGTGCATGATTGAGGGAAAAGGTTGTTTTATATAAAGCAGGTTCATATCTCTGAAGCTGTGAAGTGCTGGGGGCACTCAGATTCTCATGTGCTGCCCCTTGGGCAGTGAGCAGGGGGTCAAAGGTGCCAACACATCTGCTTTGGCTCATGTGCCCATTTCCAGCTTTCTGCTGCACTGCACTAAAAGTGGTGGATGGACTGGAGTATTTCAGGTTCTGGAAAAACTGAAAAATTCCAAGTGAGGGCCTGGAGCTTAATTCAAGCACATTTTTTGAGAAGTGTTTGTGATAGGTCCGTGTGTCACTGAAGTCCAATATAAAATTATAAAACCTGGATGTGGTTCCTTCTGTCATTGTTCTGATGCTGTTGCTCACTCCTGAAAACTTTTTTTTTTTTTTCTGAAAAAGCTGTGAAAGCTTGTGAAGTTTATATTTGAATATATATAATGAGAAGCAATAAACCCTAGAAGGAAGAGAGGGAGTTGCAAAGACTCAATAGCATTTGTTTGTGAGTGATGATTATGTAGTTGCATCTAAAATGTATTTCCCATTATTGTTCTACTAACAATTGAGGGTTTTAATGGACAGAGCCTAGAACTGCAGCAATCCATCCCCCAGAGGGAGAGATTCCAGCACCTTAGAGCAGGCTGCAAAGCCTGGCAGTGCCATTCCTCATGGGAGCATCCTCCTGCTGTAAGGAGCTGCCTCCAGAGCATTTCTGTGGGGGAGACAGGGCTGGAAAAAGAATGAGTCTAAGCCCAAACTAGCATCTCAGTTTTGCAAAGCAGTGATGCCTTGATCCAGTGAAGTTTGTGTTTAGTTTTGAATACATGAAAAGGAAAATGAAGAAAGTGGTGTGTGTTTCTCTCCCTCACCTCCTTCCCTCTTTTATCAAGAGTAAAACTTTAAAAATATACCTGAAATATTCCCTCCAAGGCTTATTTCATTGCAAAGGTACTGGATTTCCTTACCTTGGTTGCGTCTTTCTTTCATTTTAGTTCCAAGACCGAATGTATTCCTTGTTAGCCTAAGATATGTTTTTCAGTGGTACAAGATGTGAAATCAAGATGCATGTAGGATATGTCTCATCCTGGGTACAGGAGAGCTCTCAGCTTTTTTAGGCAAATCTGTTTCCAGGCTTGGCTCTGGGAAATATAATCAAGAAGATACATTTCATCAAATAACTTGAATTTATAAATGCAAAGATCCTGGTGCATAAATATATGCATCAGCAGAGGATGGAAGTGCCCAGCCAGGAGTATCCTGTGTGGTTTTTTCAGAGCTTTGAGACCACTTCTAACTAGAGACTGATTCAACAGAAAGTCTTCAGAAATTACAGCACAAACAGAGAAGTACTGGAATTTCTTGCATACATGAAGTGCCACATGATTGATGCTAATAGGTAAATTTAGAATGTAAACTTGAAAACAAAGAACTGTTTAATCTGTGCACATTTGTTATGATCTGAGGTCTGTAGGAGCCAATCAATGGCTTCATTTTCTGCTTTGATCTCTCTGTGCAGGACACCAGCCATGATTGGATGCTCCTTTGTGGTGGACAGAGAGTATTTTGGGGAGATTGGCCTGCTGGACCCTGGCATGGAGGTCTATGGAGGAGAAAACATCGAGTTGGGCATGAGGGTGAGTAACACAGAGACTTTGTGCATGTGCAAAGGGTACTGGGGAGCTTGTGGCCCAGCAGAGCTGCTGTCTGACTGATCTGCTGTTGTGCTGGAGAAGTTGATGATCTGGTAGTGACAGTGCCAGTAAATGAATGTTCCTGGCCTTGTGAGCCTTGAGAGAACTGAATATGCTTTATTGGCTCACCCTGTCAGTGTCTGAACCCAGTAAGAAAGGTTTTCCCCTTTCCCAGTCTCTTTCCTGGTGCAAACAGCCTCTGAGTCTCCATGTGCTCATTGCCCTGAGCTGAGGTTGTGCATTTGTACATTTGTGCTCTGACAGATGCAACACCTACAGAAAACTAAGGCCAGGCTGGTAGAAGTCACTTGTAATGTTCATCATGCACACATTATGAATGCTGGGGTATTTTACAACTCTGAGGAACCTCCTTGTAGAATAAGAATACAGGGTGCAGGTATTCAATCCTGTTGGACAGGTCATGGTGAACAGATGACTTTGGAATATCAGTCCCTGTGGCCTGGACCTGAAGGAGGTTTGATACCTGTGATCCCTTGACCTTGGTTTCAAGGTGGTGCTTGCCAGCAAGTCCTCCTGAAGCCCAAGGAACATGTCTTTGCTTAGCATCTGAAAATTAGGCCACTTAATGTTGCATGAACAGAGTTTCCTCATTATAAAGCTGACTGTTTAATTATTTTCCCTTTACTCTTTATCTCCTGCTCCCCAGTAACATGTCCCTGGTGCATGTAATGTGCTCATTAAAGCATATATTCTGCTTGTGGTGAAACACTGAACATAAAATTAGTCCACTCTTTATATCTGGCTCTTCTTTTTACTGAAATGGCTACAAACTCCTTCTCACCATTGGACTGAGGAGGAAGGTCACTGCAGCAAGAGTTTATTTTCACATGTGGGTGTGTATTTGTTATTCCAGCATTGCAAGAGGGATGGGTTTGTAATGGGACTGTGTGAATACACTGCTTATACTTTAAGGTTCAGAATTCACATAGGGGACAGAAAAACTGCTACCACAAATCATCCAATTTTCCTTAAGAGGGTCAGGCTATTACCAGGATTGTGTGAGCTTTCCTTTATCATTGTGCAGGGCTTTGAGCTGTTTGAAGCTTTTTCCACATGGCTGCTCCCAGAATAGATTGAACACTCTGGCAAAACCCTGGCGTGGTTGATGAATAAGGCTCCCAAGAAATCTGAAAGCTGTCGCTCTTCCTTAGGCCAGGAGGACTTGCTGAGTACGATTAGAGCTCCTGGTAAACAGAGGCAAAGGTTTTAATAGGATTATGAAATGGCACTTGCTTGAAGAGACAAGGATTTGAGATGAGTGAGGATGGGTTTTCAGGGATAGGGAACCTCTTAAAGCCTGCAGAAAGCTTGGATCTAGCAAACAGCTCTTTTTCTTTGGGGTTTGGGGTTTTTTTTGTTTGTTTTTTTCTTGGTTGGGGGCTTTTTTTCCCTTTAAGAATTGTTATCCCTACTGTTTGAAAAAGGTTTTATGAAAATACAGAGTATGAGTTTGTTGTGAATAAGCTGTGTGTCCATAGCACAGGCCTGTTACTCTGTGTTTCCAGCCTGGCAAGTAATATACAGTGTCTGCCTCCTAATTTGCAAATCCTATGTGTGATCCCCTCCTGTGAGTCTTTCAGAGCTGTCAGAAACTAGCAGTGTGAAAATGCACAGGAACCTTCTCCCTTCTCTCTAGGCTATTTATAAAACCACTGTGAATTTACCAAGTTAGGGATTTTTTTAACTCCAGAACCTTCAAGAAAATTGCAAAAAAATCATTTTTTTCCTATGGCCTGGTGCAGTGACCCATGCAGGGATATTGGGTGCTTGCCCCCCACCTGCAGAGGGATGCCATTGACCATGTGTGAAGCAATGAAAGATAGAAAAAGGAAGAAATACATGAATGAATAAATAAAACCTAAAAATTAATATAATAATAAATAATAAAATGTAGGGAAGGTGGTGGCCCATGCTTGGCTGAAAACAGTCCCTATTTGAAACAGCTGTGACAATAATCCTTTTCTACTTTTTTGAAAACTATTATCATGTAACTGCTAAGAGAAAAGAGATTAGGCTTGGAGTGTCTGAAATAGATTACATTGCATCTAGTGAACCCTTGTTTAAATTGTTTTAATAAAATGAAATAGGGAAACTCAGTGAAACTAATGAGCTGATTTGGGAGGATACTGTTTGATAACCCAGCTAATTCCCATGAAATCCATTGTTTATTAAAAAATCATGACCTTGGGTATTTCACTGTTAGCTTTGCCCTTTTCTAAATTCCATAGATGGAAATATTTAAATAATTAACCTAAGAGATTTTCTGTATTGAGTATGAATAAGCAGTGCAGCAACAGACTGGGATTGCCTCCTATGACTATTGGAAATATTTAGGGGTCTGCAGCTCTTTTCTAAACTCCTATTATTTTTTAAGTAAATAATGGTGGTTAGAGCTGCAACATTCTCCTGATGGGGTGACTTCACACTGAAGCCAATGTCTGTTTGCCAAGAGAGGGAGATTCTGGTTTGGTTGAGAAAAAGCATCAGCTCTTCTGGGAAATAAAAGGGAGATGGACACATTTGCAGGTTTGTGATAGTGAGGAAATGGATGGACACTTACATAATGTCACCTTGCTCTGTGTTTTTTAAAGGTGGCAGTTTCACCACAAGGTGGATAAATTGGGGGATTTCTGTTAGAACAAATGGTGCTATTGTCTCACTGTTCTCCAACCAGCTACTGAGGCTGATGGGAGTTATTATTAGCACCTAAACACAGGAAATTACAGCATCCAGTCTTGGCTGACTCCTCTGTGGATGAGCTGCCCTTCATGAGCACAGGCTGAAGAAGACACTCTAAATTCAGGGTAGATATCTTTGCTGCTCCTGAACATCAAATGGTCACTGAGTACAGAGAGATGTCCCAATAGGAAGAGAAATTCAAGCAGTGCTTGAATGTGGAGGCAGACAGGGGTCCCTTTAAGTGAGGGTCCCAAATTATGACCCTGTAAGAAACTGCATGCTGTGCAAGCATCATGTGAGTTCCATTCCTACTGGGAGCTACAGACACACTTAATTATTTAGAAAGGGATCATATAAACATTAAAAGCCTAGTTTATGATTTAACCTAATACAAGCAGTTTATGATGCATCTTTTTATAGTGAGTCATTAATCATTGCACTAAGGATCCCTCTCTTCCTCTGGTGCTCCAGTGATAAGGTGAATGAATTGCTGTTCTTTTCACTTTGTGCCCATCAGCTGTAATGGTGGGTGGAAAGAGATCAAGCATTTATTTTCAAGGATGCTGCAGCAGAAATTAAGTTCTGCTTCCACCATTAAGAATCCAAACAAATTACATTTTAAAAAATCTGTTGCCACGTTGATAACTGCAAATAAAACTCCTTTTATTTTATGGCCAGCATCAGGCTGCTTTATCTCAGCAGCACTGAGTCACACCAGCAGGTGAGTCCCAGGTACCTTTGGCCAGTTTTGTGGCACTGTCAGTGGAATGTCTCTGGGAGCACTGAGCTCCTCAGGACTGAAAGGAGCTGACCCCAGCCAGGATCCAGCTCAGACCCTGTGTGCTCGCTGCTGCTGTGCTTTAGCTGGTGATGGAGTCCAGGCTCAAACCACGGGTTGTGTCAACAGAAATGCAGTCCCACTTCTGCCTTACACAAGTACTGTAAAAATATCTTGATGTAGATGCACCAAAATCTCTTTATGAGGAAATGAAGCTCGTTGCCTAATGGGCTTCCATACACAAGCACATCATTATACTTTCCCAACCTCTGTTATATACCCTGTCTTTACTTTCTTTAAAAATAGATGAACTACTTTTTTTTCTGAGCAGAAATGCTAATGGTAGATTGTTGAGTAGTGAATTTTTGACCTCATTTTATTACCTTTAGCTAAAGAGATTTAGATTCCTCTGAGCAGTCAGTGTTTTAAATGCAGATTCCAGACTGGTGTGCTGTAATAAAAATGTCACAAGGTTTATGTATAGCAAACTTTAATTCTGAATTCTGGACAATGCTTTTTGCCCTGTGTGATTCATGAGGCCAGGTCCCTAGTCTTAGAGCTAAATAGAAACTCAGTTCTGGTGAGTTACTCAAAATTCCAGCATTCTTTCACATGTGCTGTGGTAAAATACAAGTGAAAATTGCACAAAAAATAGAGGTTAATCAAAGTGTCTTATTATGGTGAATCTGAAAATACTTCATTTTTATTTGGACCTTTCCCAAGCTATAATTTTTAGTATAAATTAATTCAGTTTTGACTTAAAAGTCATAAAGCCTTTTAGTTCAAAGACATTTAATCACTTGAACTGTGTTAACAAAACCCCACAGTTGCTGACATCTGAAAAAGTGGTGTGCTCTGTCCTTAGACATGCCTATTCACACTGGAGTGCAATAAATCAGCATTTTCAGCATGAAGTTAAATGCTATTAAAACGTTTCTGAGCAGTTCTACACTGCCTAAGCAAAATCCTGCTAAGTGATGTAATCTGCTGTTATTGGAAGTTGCCCCAGTGCTGAGGCTGCAGAGATCTCAGTGATAAATCTCCCAGCTCTCACCCTCCAGATAAAAGTGCGTGAGTAAAGGTGTCCCCTTTCCCCATCTCCAGTTTAATTTAGCACTTTCAGAGGTATTTCCTGAGGTAAAGGAATGCTAAGCTTGTGGAGCCAAGCATGGAGAAGTCATGAAAGGATTGAAGTCGTGGTGCCTGCATTCCATGAATTCCCAGCTCTATCCCCTCTTCAGAGCAGGAACTGGAGCTGCTGGTTCTGTGCTGGTGTGCAGGAGTGATGAGCCAGGCCCTCAGCACATCCCAGCTTCTGCATCTCCTGATTCCACTGGAGCTGCAGAGATTCACGCAGGGTGGGATCAGGCTTGGCATTTGTGCCCAGCAGTCACACATTCTGTCTGGAAATGGAGACAGATTTGTGGCAAGGCAAGGAGCCCCTGCAGGTGTTATACCCCAGCCC